GCAGGATCAGGATTTCATCCTAGAAGTTCAGTTCTGTGGATATAAGCTGAACATATTTAGCTATGGTGAATTAAGGTAAAGTTATCTTAAAGTCATACACAAAGTAGAAGATATATACAACATTTATAGGGTTCATTTTACTGTGAAAGCATTTGCTGAAATTCAACAGTTTAACACCATTGCAAATCTGGTTATGATCATTCTTTTATGTTGAGGAAAATTTAACACCACCACAAACTAATCACAGCAAAATCTGGACATGTATATTGGTTTTAGACAACTACACTGTCCCTAATTATAAAGATACAGCTTATGAAAATACAGGCCTCTTGACAACATGTATTTTTATTTTTAGGTCTTGTAAGCTAAAATCAAATTTAATATGCAGTACTAGAATGCTTCAAATTAACTTTAAAATTATTAGAAATTAATAGTGAATTTGAATTTAAAAGGGAACCCTCAGATTGTGTGCTATCGTTCTTTTGGCTGCATTCGCAGTTATGCAGTGACTCATTGGTAATTGTTTGTGTGGGATAACAACATGAACGTCTTCTTCCTCAATTCAGAACATATGGCTTTATAAACTACAGATCAGTGAAAAAAGAAAAAGAAAAGAAGAAATAATAAACTAATATAAAAAAATACACCATACTTGCCTAAATTTTTCATAAGTCATATCCTACAATTTGATTTTTAAGCAGAATACCATGTTGAGATTTTAGAACCAAGAAGTTCTGTTTCTATATCACTACATAGAATACTATGAATAAATAATTTTATCACATCTTATTTGTCTGTTAAACCAAAAACAAATTATTCAAATTAGAATGAACTTTTTCATTTTTTATGGAAAATGAAAGGAAAAGGGAAAAGAAGGAAAAATGTTTTGGGTATAATGCAACATTTTTTTTGCCGTGAAACAAGATATTTCATTTTGGGTTATTTATAGTAAAATGCACACAAATCTGCTAGATAAGGAAGCTGTGATCCCCTTTTGCCCAGTAGCCTAAAGCAGTGGTTCTTAACCTTTTTAGGCTCAAAACACTGTTTCATAACTTTTTTGAATTTAGCAGAACCGAATTTAGAAAACTGTCGCAGGGCACTAAGGTGCCTGCTCCTCTTAGAGCAGAGATTGCCCAGGGAGAGAGCACAAAGAGCCAGCTGAAAATCCAGGTGCAGGTTGCCATGACAACTGGTTAACGAGGGAATTGGCCACACCTGCACCTGGTCAGCTGGCTGAGGGAGGCAGGGCCCTAGGCCCATATAAACTCTAGGGCTGGGACCAGGCAGTTGGTTCCCTACCAGCAGCCGAAGGGGAAGGAGACTCTGGGAAGGAAGGGCCCAGGGATGTGGTAGCTAGCAGATACACTACCCTTAGAATACAGGGGACACCAGGAGCCCATAAGGTGTCCTTGCCTACTAGGCACTGAGCCTCAGAGAGGGAGTTTTACTTTTTTAAAGGGGCAGAGCATGACACGAGTTTTGCATTACATTACAGCCCAGGGACTCGTGGTGGTTGGCTATTATTTGTGTGCTGTCTCATAACACCAGTGGTTTGGGTGAGACTATTTGGGGAAGGAAAAGGCCACATTGGGGGCCCAGTATAGTGTGGGGACCCTGGCACCGGCACTGAGACAGGGCTGCAGAGAGGCCGGCGAGGACAAGGGGCCGAATTATAATGAGGCCTAGGCAAGACAACGCCAGTATCATCTGCAGGGCTTGGGGCATGGTAAAGGGGTGGTTGGAGCCACACATAAGGCTGAGAGACTCAGGAACTATCCACAGTGATGCAGGACGTCAAAGGGTCTAGAGACAACAGGGTTATTAGGATCTAGCCAGACTGTGTCTAAACCTAAAGCCCAAGGGCAGCATCCCTATATTCATCGTACCAACAAGATGTGGCGGGCGAGAACAAGGGTGCTTTTTGGGCAAGACTGACACGGTTAAGGACCTGGGGGTAAGACGGCCACCCCTAGGCACCCCACCCTGTTACAAAAACTATTCTTTATTACATTTTATTGTGGGGTTTTTTCCACTTTTTTTTTTCACTATAGAAAATAGAGTAGTTTTTCTGTTACAAAAAACTCAACAAGGACATAACAGGTCAGATGGCTTTGACACTGTGGATTCCTATTTGAAATCTCTGGGTTTACCTTATGAATATCTGCACACCCAATAGTGCTAATATTGCATGGCACCCCATTGCATGGGTCTCATTCTCTGTTTCATTTATATGTGAATGTATAAGATGCAATGAGAGCCCAGAGAGAGTGTAAGACCAACCAAACCAACATTTTGTACCAGTATAAAAAAAACTACACAAAATGCAAGGGAGTGGAAAACCAGTCCCTTTAAAATACTACAGGCTTACTAACAGAATCGCCAAGATATTAGCAAATTGATAACAAAGGTCCTAAAATTAACTGGTGCAAAATTTCAAAGATCTTTGGGAGACTAACAATTTAATGAATGTGGAATAACAACATGATGCACTGAAAAAGTATAGTTACATCTGCATTTGATTTGTATGCTGCAGAGTTCATAGAAGTCTCAGTAATTTAATTACACATAAAATAATTTAAAATGCAAACCCCTGGCTATAAACACTTTCCCCCATCTACTGTCCTGTAACTCTTCATTAAATTAATTTAAAATATTTTTAATCAGTCATGAAAAGTAACTACTAAAAATTAAAAAAACAAAACAAAACACTAATGCATTTTTTAAATATCCCCTGAAATGTATTGTAGTGCTCCAATTACTATACAGGGCACTTTCAGGTTCAGAAAAATAACTTCAACAACCAAAATATGAACATATGTATGGAAAATTGCATATAAAAGACATGCCACTTCTAAAAATTAGAACACTATTTTGATGCTTTACAGAATAGCTTCTTGTATTGATCATTAAAAGGACTTAGGTTTATTAACATTTCCAAAAAGCTGTTGGATTGTGATATCACTATGAACTATTTTCAGTGCAGAGGTCCATATGTGTAGAATGCAGTGGAGCACTGGAAACCCAGTCTACAAAATTTGCAAATGTGCATGTCAGCTGCCAGCATCATAAGATAAACAGTGATTCTTTCCACTTTTCTTCCCATTTCCTCTTATATCAGCATTGTTTTTTAAATTATATTTTACAGAAAAATCTAGTTACAGTGTGTTCAAAATCAGATTCTAGTTTTAAAATAAACTTCTTTAAAATCTAAACTAGACATTAAGCTGGAATATTATGAACTTTTCTAGAAAAATAAACTGTTTTCAAAGTTTCCATATGTATACCACCACACTGAGAGCTCGGTGCGGGTACATATACTTTAAAGTATTGCATAAAGTTACAGCACTAACTAAATCCTGCTATGTTTGTTTGTGGAAAAAAGTTCTATTGAAGTATCTAAATGTGACCCACAGCATTCAAAAGATCCAAATTTGTATTATGAAGACAACCATAATTATATTACCAGTAAATAACGGATGAAATACAATGATTTTTTTTCCACCAATTCATACTACAATATACTTGGCAAAACTAAATTTCGTAATTTAGTACCATGGAAGAACTATTAAAAAACAAAACAGAACAGTAATTACTCAACAAAGGAAACCGAATTGATCACACATTCAAAGCTGCATAATAGCTTTGAAAGCAGCTCAAACCCAAGAAATAACAGTTATCTTGCTTCTTACCACTTCATAATCCTCACTGCCATAAAGGTACATAGCTGCACCTTAACGATCTTACAGTGTATCCAAAATGTCCTAAAGTAAGAGCTTCAGCTGCATCTTAAACTTCTGCGTCTTAGCAATATAGCTTCTACAGCTGGAATACAGTTCCAGTGCTCGTTTCCCACGCTCAAAATGCTTCTTTAATATTGCTCTCAAACATAAAAACAAGACCTCTGACTGTAAGCAGTTAAGGAAACGATGATCTGGCAAGCTGCACCAGTAAGAAATTCCACAAAGGAAAGCAGCAGCAGCAAAGACGTGTGGTGTTAATCCATTACTATAAGCAAAAGAGCAGAGGGGAGCAGAGGCTGGGCTGGGGTATTCATTCACCGTTATGTTCTTAATCACATGTTGCTGGCCTTATACTGATTGGCTACAAGATCAGGCAGTATAATGGAAAGCAGCTAGAACTCTACTGGCCTATCTGTTGTGCTGAGAGAGTTCAGTAATATCGGTGAAGTTTGAGTTCCAACTTCTTACACTCTTAGACTCAATTTGTTTGCATTTATCACAAAGACAGTTGGAACAAGTACTGTCCTTAGATGAAGAACTCAAACATGACTGAGCAGAACTAATTTAACTTCAAAGGACCAAAAAGGAAACACTTTTTAACCTGTGAATGAACCAAGTTATTGTAAATTCAGCCTTGCCTAGTTTCCACAGTACTGCACTGCATATATAAAAGACAATTTCACCCCAGGACTGTTCATACATACACCAGGAGTTTCTACAAATGACTTACTTACTTGTACTAATAGCACATTCTTCAATATACAGGTTGATACCAGACTGGTCTGCTAGTAAAAAGAAACAATGAAGCTTCTCTTTATCATGTGAAGGCATTTTGAAAACAGAAAAACCATACTTACTGTCCCAGTGGTCACAGTCACTGCACATTTATTTAGTACTTGTGTAATCAAGTATTTAATGTACAATAACCAGAGTTACTGCGCAGTAGTGCCGGCAAACATTTTAAGTGGCAGTACTCCACAGTAGCCTAATGATACTACACAGTAGTGTAGTAGCACTGTTAGTGCCGTGACGTGCTATTGTACAGCATTATTCAGCAACTACACAGTCAGTGTCTTGTGTCGATGTGTGCAAATAGGGATGATACTGTTGATAGGGACAAAGTCTGTGGCCATGCCTTCACTTCTTACTCAATACATGCTAATTATTTTAAAGAGAAGTTTCCCTACCTAAGAGGAGAAAAAAGGAAGGACTTCACAGCCTCACCCATTGAAGTCATACCATAGTTAAAGTTAAAACAAGGATTTAAAAAAAAACTTATTTTTAAAAATCTTTCAGAAATAGAAGACAAGATATCCAGAAATGTTTTCCAATGGTAACTACTGTTCTTAAGAGCTGGCTCTATGCATTCATAATTCTTGGAGGCAGTGCTTCCTTGAAGCAAATCATCGAACATCTACCAAAGCAGGTTCCATTGTATAGGCTGTTGCACAAAAGTAAGCAAGTGATAACCATGACACATATCTGAGTGTATGTAAGAGAGTGAAAACCCTATTCATTCTACACAAATAGCCCCACGAACCTGTCCCACTCAGTTTAGCAAGTTTTAGTTTAGTTTTACATCATTTATCTGCACCATAACTACAAAAAAGAGCACACATATTCCCTTGAGAAACTATAGTGCATTTCCAAAATTTGATACGGGAAATACATAGAATAAAAAAAAATAGGCTCTGTGCATTTGTGTACAGGCACGTAAGGTAACTAGTTGATTTGCCCTGATTTCTCAGGAGGACTGAGACCACCTCCCTTGTTGCCCTCTCCTGTTTGTTCTTCCTCCAAGTCACCAACTTCCCCACTTCTCTCAGGGCTTTGGTCTCCATCCCCCAGCAACCCTAGTTTAAACCCTCCTCACTAGGCTAGCGAGCCTGTCTGAGAAGATGCCCTTCCCTTTCTTCACCAGGTAGATCTCATCTCTTCCTAGCAGTCCTTCTTGGAACATCATCCCATGGTCAAAGAAGCCAAAGCCCTGGTCCCAACACCACCTGCACAGCCAGGCATTGATCTGCAGGATGCACCCGTTCCTGCCTGGGCCCCTTTTCCTTGACCAGAAGGATCAAAAAGAACATAATATGATTTTATGTTTTCTGAAAATTTTGAACAGCATTCTGAAGGCATCTGAGGTTAGCTAAAAATACAATTCTTTTAAAACATAAGATAAATGAAAAGCTCAAGTTGTCTTATACTTCTAATTCTTTTGAAAACCATTTATTAATCTAGGAGTTAAAAATTGCTCAAGGATTTATAGAAAGGAAAAAGACAAATTATAGATCAGGAATCACTCATTTTACCTCTCCTGATGTACTCCCAATTCTAGTTTGCTTACGACAGCTGTTTAACCTGCCAAACAAACTGACTGCATCACATGAAATCAGCTGCAAATCATACTGAAAAATTCCCAGTGTGGAATCCCTACATTAGAATAAAACATGCTTCAATACATCATAATGATGAAATGAAGAAAAATTATAATGACATAGTTTAGAGAGTGACAACAAAACTCGTTAGTGATACATTTAAAATTTTACATTTTTTAATAAAACTTTCATAGAAGTTGTAATGTTTGGAATTTTTATTCAGTGGATCCATGTTTAATAAAACAACTATGGGATGAACTATAGGATACGTACTTCAAACCACACAGGATCAAGCTTCAAATTCCCTCTATTACTAGCCACAGGAAAAAGTAATAAATAAAGGGACCTTCTACAAGGTCCCTTCCAGCCCCTAACAATCTATGAATCTATACCCCAGTTGTCTTTTCCTGCCTAGTGGACCAATGATTTTCCAGCCCCTAACAATCTATAAAGCTGGCCACCAATATAAAATACCAAAAGGTGCAATCATCATCTTTATTTTGGCAAAGGCTTCACAGCTAATATCACCAAAAAATAATGAAATATTTGTTTTCAAATACATTTGATAGTACTAAATCTACAGGCAGAAGACTGAAAAAAAAGACTGGTAAAGCAATTCACTGACACTCTTTTCAAACATTTGGTATCTAAACTGTGCTCTGTCCAGTTTTATTTTGACATGAAACAACAGCAACTTAACTCCTTGTCTTTTCTTGCCATGTTTTCAGAGACCTCAATGAAGATGTGTTTGCATCTAGGTGGGTTGCAAAATCATGCACTGGCTGGCAGGGTTGAGGAGTTATGATGTAAAACATAAAATGCATACTGCATAGCTTTCATGATGCTAGCACACTGTTACAACAGGAAGACCTCATATTGAAACACCTGAATGTATTCCTGAAAAATACTATTAAAGTAGTGCCAGAAGAAATTAGTGCAATATTTCAAGCATATTTCCTTGCATTTCTAGTTTTTTAGACTTTTCACCAAACCTCGCTAACCTCATCACCAAAAGCAAACTCCCTATGACCAAAACAATTCCTAATGAATCCAGACCATCCCAGGACAAGAAATGCAAAACCTGCCAACCCATCTCCACCACTCCCACAATAACCACACCCCACAACAGAACCATTACCATTCCTGAATCTTACACCCGCATCTCCAGAAATGTTATACATCTGATCCAGTGGACCAAATGCCCTGATGGAAAATATGTAGGAGAAACCAAACAACAATTGTGCACCAGAATGAATGCACACAGAAAATCCATCAAAGACAAAAGTATCCAATTACTTATGGGGTACACTTCTCATAAGACAATCATTCTCTCTCCGATCCCTCAGTTCTAATCCTCAAAGGGAACTTGCAAAACACCTATCAGAAGTGAGCCTAGGAACTTCACTTCATAAATCTACTGGATACAAAAAATCATGGACTCAATATAGACATCGGATTTAGGACACATTACAACCTACCTGACATCCAATTCACCAGGTACCTGGCCTGACCTTATGATTTACACTTTTCTTCCTCCCCGCCCCCCCACAATTAGTCCCCTCCCCTCCTTTTCTATCCTTTGTCTTCCTAATTTCCAGGTATTTACTTTTTCACCTTGAAGAACTGAAGAAAGAATTTTACACTTTCACCTTGAAGAACTCAAGTACAAAAGAGACTCCTTTACTTACCTTTGGCATTATTTCTCCCTCATTTCCTCCCCTCCCTTCCTTACCCTTTGTTTTGCTAATTTCTACCTATTTACATTCTCACTGACATCCTGCCACACTTTTAGCTTTTTTCATTCCTTGGAGATCTAAGAACAGCAGAGTCTCACTATGCCTGGAGAAAGGTGCTTGTGCCTGAAAGCTTGCAAAGAACTTTTTTCCAACTACTCAGTTGGTTTAATAAAAGATATCACATCTACCCAAAGAACCTTGCCTGCCTATGTCCTTGGACCAACATGGCTATTAATGTTCAGTTTTTATGGAAATGGCTGCTCACTGGCTCAGAAGGATGACTAAAAATCAGAAATCATGGTTTTGCAAGGAAATGTAAAATTAAACACCTGTAATTTTTTTGGGTTGAATATAAAACTATTACTTCTTCACCTGTTCTTATTCGCTCATAGAATTACCCACTATGCCTGGGGGATGGAACAATACCTCATTTGGCATATCCAGCCTTGGAACTTGAAGGTTAGTGTCACTAGTCTGTTTAGGGTGCAGAAGTCCATATTCACATCAAGCACACAAAGGCACACATACAAATATGCATGCACACACACTTTGCTTCCTCTCCTTATGCTTCGGTATATTTTCTCTTCATAAAAAAAAAAAGAATGGTCACATACTAGTAAAATAACATTACCATATTTACTTGAATATAAGATAATATTTAAGTAATATTATCCCCAATGATTTCCAGGTATAGAATCTAATTATTAGAGATTTGCTTGAAATTTGTTCACTCTCCCACTGCTATAGGAGGGAAAATAAATCTTGGGGGGTCAGGTGGACCCCTTGCCCCCCAAACTTATTCCCCTGGAACCCTTCTCCCCACCCACGCCTTACTGTCAGAACCTGCTCTCCATAAGCACATATAAGTGAGGGACACATTTGGAAACACTGACTTTGTACTATGAGTACCCACAGACTTAGATCAAATAGAATTGATGCATTTTACTTTTTCTGAAACTGCTGCAAGTTTTATCACAGATACTCCATAAACATTTAAGTAGCACTTAAATATAGTATAAACTATGCTTGATATTAGTCCAAAGACAAAAGCTCATGATTTACCATACATTTCATTGGGCTGGGCCCCAGAAGAGTCAACAGCATTTCAAGCCATGGTGACCCCATAGCTCAACACTATTCAGTATGT